CAGGTAGCCGTGCCCAGGTCACGGCCTGCGGGAGCCTCCCTGGACGGCACGGTCAGCAGTTTCGGGCAGTGTGGGCCGGGCCGGGGCGGGGCAAGGCTCAGCCCTGCGGGGCAGGACCTCGCTGCCCGTTCCCTGTCCTTGTCCTCACTCTGGGAGAAACGGGAGATGTTCTCTCCAATAATGGAATAATTTAAGTCCCAGGGTACTCAAATGAAAAACAAACCAAACCTACACACAGATCAAAAATGCAAGTATTCAGAGCACACCGTATCGACCCACTGAAGGCTCCAGAAAAAAAAAAATCCAAGAATAACTGACCACCACCACCTTCGGGTTCAGAGGGGCCTTTATGAAGTGTGTGCTGAACCCCCTTAGGTCGCGTTCTCGGAAGGGCTCCATCAACTGCACTTTCTGGGGTGGGACAGGTGAATGCCAGTGTAGGGATGGGGGGGTGGAGGGTAGCTGGGATGGAATGTAGGGGGTCGGTGGCTGTGGGGGAGGGTTCTGGGAGGGAATGAGGGAAACCTAACCCTGCCAGCCAAGGGGGACTACTCTAGAAGTGCATGCGAAGATTGGTTACCATTGCTGTTAGATTGACAAGGTGTTAATTTCGTAGGCTCTAACTTTAAAAACCAGTGAACTGATTTAAGGCTTATGCTGCCCTGGCATCCTGTGAAACCCGCCCTTAGTGAGGAAGGGGAGGCGTCTTGGCCAAGGCCCATAAACAGATGCCCGGGGTCTGCCAAGCTGGTAGCTGTCCCTCTGGACGGCGTTTCTTCAGTGTGTCCATGGTTCTGCATATTTAGAGAACTCTATTTTATGTGTCCTGTTTTGTTAAGAACGAACGAACGAACCCTCTCATGCCGCTAAGTGTCACGGCCTGCACGCTGTCGTCGTCTGGCCCTCTTCACACCGGGGTCTGTCTCCTTTGACGGACGGACTCGTGCCCTGATTACGAGGTTATTTTGTACTTGTCTTAATACCTGACTGTAATAAACGGCTTAAGAAGACTGTGTGACTCTCAGCTCACGCGTAGGCCTGTCCCGCTCGCGGGCAGCGTCAGGCCTGATGGGCACCCTGCCCGGGAGCTCCGCCACGAGGGCTCGCGCACTCTACAGTAAGAGCATTTATGCTTTGGATTTTGTTTTAAAGGGCCACAGAAAATTAGTCAAATTAATCCACATAAAATCAATAAACTAAATACTTACCAGTCTGCCATTACCCTGAATATAAAAGGGCAGATATTTTTGTTGACACATATATTTTCATGCAAATGGTGTTTTCTCCTTTAGATGAACAAACACACCAGATGAAATTTTTTTTGGTAATTGCTAGTGGGCGCTGCATTCACCAGGGACAGAGGGAGAACACATCCCCTGAATGGGGTCACTCGTGGTCTCTTCTCCCGTTTTCCCCGTAGGATTCCAGGCACACACACCTGGCGTGTTCCATCTGCAGGGGCTGGTCTGAGCTGTGCATGGGGGCCTGGCTCTTCTGACCCCTGGGCGACAGGGCCAGCCCGTGCGATGAACTGTGCTGTTTCCATTAGTGTAAACGTTTTATTTCAATTAAAGGCAATAGAAATACAAAATAAGTAGTTCTGATCATTATAAAGTAGAGACAATGAAAAATCTCATCCTGTCTTCCGACTTTAAAATCTTTTGTTCCACTCTGACCCATTTTTACGCAAACCACTGGGAGATCACACGGCCCCCGAGTCTTGGCGACTCCTCTCCTGCGAACGCTCTATGCTCCGATCACACACGTCGAACTATTGTCTTCAAAGTGCCATTACCACAAGAGCACCGGACTACAAAGCAATAAAAACAGACTACACAAACTGAATCAGATTACCACTTTCCTCAGGCTGATAAAGAGTGGAGACTCCCACGTGATATACCTCATTCTTTCTACATGAGCCAAAGGGAGCGCTGCCTAACCTCAGCCACCTGCATTCTTAACTATGAGCATCTTGATGCTAATTAGTACTTCTTAAAACTTTATTCTCTCATAACATCTGGACAACAACAAACATTTAGTTACAAATAACGCGAAGTTAAAATGCGCCATGGGGACAGGAGTCATTTGGTAAACAGTGGCCTGCGATGTGCGGTGGAGTCGACATGAGCAGGTGAATCTCCACGTCTGCACCCAGGGCTACGTGGCATCAGCACGGCAGGGGTCACACGAGCCTGTCCACTCCACGACGGTGTCGTTTCCTCACGTGGCCTCACCTCCTTCGTTCTTGGTGAAGGCATCTCACAGTGACGAGTATAATCACACGTGGAGTGGCCTCAAGTGCCAGCCAGCGCTCATACACAGCCCTGTGAACGGTACTCCTCAGTGATTCAGGTAGTTCTGACTCTAAACAATTCTGACCAAACACACCTGGGAAGCACCAGATCCCACTGTAACTCTTTTAGAGATTTTAATTCCATTCCATTCTGATTGTTGTTTATTGTCCCGAAGATCTGCGTCTTCGTTCGAAGAGTCGATATTTGGTAAGTATAAAATCCAGTAACTGGTGTGATTTCTCCATCACTGAAGCTGTGTTGTCTTGATGGGGATAATACTATTAAAGTCCAAGAAAAAAGGTCCTTCTTGTTTAGGCAAAAAAGTACTGGGAATGATATTGAAGATCCCAGCAGGTATATTATCTATTTCCAGGTAGCAAAACCCACACCTGTATTCAGGGAAGATGAGAAGAAGGTTTTTAGGAGATGTTGCCACAAGAAGTGAAGTTAAATCGGATGCGATCAAATTGCCAACTTTACCTGTAGTCACCACTAGACTTCCTCTGAAAGCCATGGGGACCAGGATCTCCCATCACAGAGACCGTTATGACCTCAAATCCAACACTGTACTGCCTGGCACGAAAAATAAACAGAAATTCCGTATTACTAAATGGCCTCGAATACACGATTTAAAATAACTGAGGGACGGCTCCCTGTTACTTCAAGTACACACTTTCCGCAGCGCCAGCAGGCGGGAATAGCACTGCCACACGTATACAAGACCACTTACACCTTGACTGGAGCAGGACGGCTACCTTAGTACGAAGCTTACTCGGAAAAGAATTTTATGATGGGAGCCCTAGGGAATGATATGAAAAATACTGTCATTTAAATTTAGAATTTAAGCTTGAAAGATAAAATGTAATAGCCAGGAAGGCTCATGGAACAGGAAAGCCTGAAATCAAATCTAAATGTATTGAAGTAATTAGCATAAAACAGACATTTCAAGTAGTTGGGAAGGAAGTCTTCAGATGATGATATGGTGACAAAAATTTAGAAGAAATTATTCATCTGTAATGCATATTCCATATAGATTAAAAATGCAAAAAACTAAACCATAAAAGAACTAGAAGAAAATATAGTAACAGTGTACTTGACATTGGCATGAAATTTCCCATCTATTGGAAAAGGAAACAACGAAACAAAACAAAGATCTGATTACTGTAATATGAAATTGTTTTCTCTGTGTGGAAGAAAAAATGACTACCTAGGAAAGATATTTGCAAATATGTAAAGGATTTAATATCCTTAACTTAGGCTTACAATATCAAGAAAAGCAGGACAGCTACAATCAACAAAATACAGGCAAGTGACATGAACAGGCAACAGAAACATGCCCCGCTAATGAACACTTACATGTTCCATCTATCCGGAAATTAAGGAGCGATTTCACTTATCAAACTACTAGTGGTTTTTACAGTGACTTTGTAGAAAAACAGCTTAATCCTATCCTTCCTATCTAAAAATGGCTTAACCATATCCTGTCTTCATAACCTCAAGGACTGCTTTTTGAATTAGTTTGTAGGACAAGCAAAATGAAGCCTAATCGTATTTACAAGTTCGTACTCTTTATTTACAGTCTGCTTTGAAACTTTTTAAAATTGTGGCATAGAACACAAAATAAATAAAATGCATAGCTTAATAAATAATTTGTACACTGAACACACACCTGAGTAACCACGACCCAGATCAACACTCCCAGCACGGAAGAACCCCTTCGTATACATTTTTCTGGTCCCAACTCCTGTCCGCTACAGAGCTACCTGTATGCTAATCACTCTCTTGCTTTGTTAATAGGTTGGCCACGGAAGTGTGCACCCTTAAGCAGCTGTTTAGCCTTGCCTTCCTGACTTCATCTAAGTGAAATCGTGTGTGTATATTCCACTGTGCGTGGCATTTGCTCAGCATTCTTTCCTTTGTTTTTAAATGCCAGAGGGCACACACCAGGTGGAGGCATAGGGGGAGAAAGCACCCCAAGAGGAACAGGTCACATGCAACCCCTTCTCCTTAACTCCCCGTCCTGTCAGGATCCTGGGCTTGTGCACACGCATGCCCGCCACGGGGACCATGGTCGCCCACGTGGGGTCTGCTTCCGCAGCACGTCCCCAGGGCCCTGCAAGGCCGGCCGCTGGACCGTTACGGCTCACCTGTAGTGCTGCATAGCTATGGCCTGCTCACCGTCAGTACAGCCCGGACAGCTGCGTCACCGTGATCAAGTGACCGAGGGACAGTCGGTAATTAAATACACTGGCCAGCAGGGGGCCGCTTCCGTCATTCTTTCTTCCCTCAAAACTGCAGACTTTTTTCTTACTAGTGTAGCATATTTACAAATGTGCTTTCTGTATATAAGAAACCTTTCCTTGTCCCCTGAGGTTACCTCGTGTTTGTCTCCTAAAGCTATACTGCTTTGCCTTCACGTTTAGACCTGTAATGCACTGGGAGTCGATTTTTAGATGTGATGTGAGAAAAGGGTCTAACATTTTTAAGTGCATGGATACTAATTATTACACACCATTTATTAAACAGACAGTTCTTTACAATGCCATTGTTATCATTATCCAGTGTCTGGTTTTAAACTTATTCTATCCCGCTAAACTCATTAAAAACAACAACAGCTGGCAGAGGGCCTCTGTGCTCACTTCAGAGAAGCAGAGAGGGAGAGCGAGCGCAGCCCCAAGGGAGTGAGCCCTTCTCCACCTCTCCGTCCTGTCGGGATTCTGAGCACGCACCCAAAGCCCCCTGGCCTGCAGCTCAAGTTATGAGGGCTGGGGTCTGAACTGGGTCAGCCACGTGGGATATGGCTCTTTCAACCGTCAGGCTCTGGGACCTGTCCACACGCATTTTATGTAACGTCACCAGTTTTCGAAGTCACTGCTCACACACCTCGGCCCTCTCAGCTCGATCAGGACCGGCCCGGCCTTCTCCACGTGGAATTGGTAGATGGGGTTGTTTTTGTGGGTCTCCTGGAAGTTCGCACAGCCTCCGGCACTCTGACCACTCCACTTTCCATTAATCTAGTGCAACAAAGGTTCTGCATTAACCATCTCATTCTCCACTTCCACCTTCAAGACAAAAGCCCTTCCACCATAGACAAACACACCCTGCCCTTCTCCACTCCACGGCTCTATTCCGTCCTTCCGACCTGTGTGTGCCCTAACTATCCAACAGTCATTTCCTACGCTGAGGCCTCTGCCTCCCGGCCTCTCCCGTGACTCGTCCTGCCAGGACTCCACACTAGAACATTCCTGTACACGTCTAGTGGAGCCTGCAGGGCTGGCCTCGAAGCTTAGGTCTGTCCACGTGGCCTTCTCTAACCACCACGGTCTGCGTTTGCCCTTCTCCCCTCACGGGATCACTTAGTGCGCTCGCTGAGACCCAGACTGGAGTCTACTTCCCCTTCTGCTCTCGTCAAGCACAAGAATGTTTCTATTTTGAAATAAATTGTTAAACGTGAAGAATAAAATAAAAAAGAATTTTAAAATCCTAAAAGAATGTTGAAATTACCACCCAGAGAATTTCCTTACCCGTTTTGATAAGGTATATGGTGAAGGAATCTTTGAAAAAGTAAAGCTGCATGCTGAATATACCTAGATGAAAAGAAAAAAAAAAACCAACTATACTCTATACTTTAAAAATCAAAGTGATAAACAATATACTGGAAAACTGAAAATTCATTATTCTATAGGCAGCCCAATATCAAGTCAGGTTTAATGACTAGAAAGCTAGAGATTCTGAAGCCAGCAGGTGGCATGGTGGTTAGGGCACTGGATCCACATGGCCAACTCCAGTTGGAGTGCTGGACCTAGCGGCTTGCTTCCTCACTTCCTTTCTCTCTAGTGAGTGCGCCCCATAACAAATTTAAAAATACTAAAATAAATAATAATAAAAACCATCAGAATTTTGCCTTGGCTTTCCCTGAACAAAATCTCAAGTTGTTCAGCTACATGAGAACAGAATTTTTTCAGGTGATTGATTCTCTTTCACCAAGTTCAAAATTGTCTTTTTAAGTCAGTAAGAGTATTACGTAGGCGAAAGGAAACGTTATTACTTTAAGGCGGAGTTAGTTCAGCATACCACATTACTGCAGGGCTAAGTGACTGCTGTGAGGACGAACTGTTCCCTCAGGGACCGGGAGGTGGCAGGTGGTTAGGGTATGGGACCTCCCACACGGCTGACTGGTTGGAGCACCAGACCCAGGGGCTTACAGCTGGCAATGGGTATGTGTGCTCCAGATCCCAAGAGGACGATGGAAGAGAAGGGACCGCGGCGTAACATCCCCCATGGGGTGAGTTCTCACTTTTCCCCTCTCTAGTGAGCACATGTGTCTATGGCAAAAACCTAAAAAAAAAGTCACTCAAAATATTTAAAATGAAAACATTACTTTTCAAAAGCATTATTTTCTATAGGAAGTACCATAACTTTTTTTCTCTTATTATAGGGCATGCACACTCACTGCAGACGACAGAAAGGGAGTGAGAAGGCACACCCGGTGGGGACGGCCACTGAGACCCCTTCTCCACTCGCCTCTCTGGAGTTCGGCCACACACGTGTGCGTGCCTGTGTGTTTTCAAGCTTTCCAGGTCCAGGACTTGAACTGCACGGTCAGGACATGGGATCTAGTTGCCTTAGCAGCACGCCCGCCCCTCCCCGTTACTTACGCGGACAGTGTAATGGATGGTGTTCTGCTTCTCGTACTGCGAGACCACCAGGGTGAAGGTGTGCGTCCCGGGCGTGGTCAGCTTCATCTTGGTCAGGTAGTGCGGGCTGTTGATGCGGATCCCGTCTATGTATGGAGGCGGGTCAGCTGCAGACAGACAGGTTTACGGAAGGGAGGCTTTTCTCCGTGTGTCACGTGTACAGGTGATGGGAGGGAAACCAGAGGGCAGACGCCCCTTTAACTGCCCGCCTTCAAAGAACGGCAGCTGTGCCTAGCCAGTTCTGTCTGGACTGTGCACAGCTGACACGCACAGGCGTTCACTGGAACTGTGCACAGCTCTGACACGCACAGGCGTTCACTGGAACTGCACAGCTGACACGCACAGGCGTTCACTGGAACTGCACAGCTGACACGCACAGGCGTTCACTGGAACTGCACAGCTCTGACACACACAGGCGTTCACTGGAACTGTGCACAGCTCTGACACGCACACAGTGACCTTCTGGGACACTCAGTGAGGTTATAATAGTGCTTGCCATTTGCTGTTTGCATTTTTCTCCAGGAGAGGATTTTAGATCAGAATTAGCTTCTATTTTGTCCTCTGAGGCTCACAATTTTGAAAATATAGAAAGTGGAATATATATTTATACTCTCACCCTCACGAATTAAGATTTTGTCATGCTAGTTTCCTTTAAGTTATTTTTAAATTTTCATTAATGAGTGAGATGGGGGGGAAGGAAAGAGACAGAGGCGTTTTTTTGTTTGTTTGTTTTTTGAGAGTTTTTTTGGCTATAGGGTGCATGTGCTCGCCAGAAAGACAGAAGGTGAGAAATCGACCCCTGGGGGGATGACCATGCCGCAGTCCCTTCTCCTCCATCCTCCTCTCGGGATCTTGGGCACGCACGCACATGCGCCTGGCGTGAGTTTAAGCCACCGGGCCCAGACTTGAACCGCGGCCGACTACATTACGCCAACTGCTGGTCCCTGTCATACTAGTTCTTACATAAAGCGAAGTCCCGTTTAGCCACCACCCTGCTTTACTCTTCCCCAGAAAGACCCGGGCGTGTCTTGGAGACTGTAGTACGTATCCACACACTTCCTTCAAAATGAGCAGTAACTGCTTTCTTTCTTTCTTTTTTTTTTTTTTGGAGAGATTTTCACTGTAGGGCACGTGCGCTCGCCAGACAGACAGAGACATAGAGACAGAAAGCGAGAAATCACCCCCCAGGGGGGATGGTCACGCCGCAATCCCTTCTCCTCCATTCTCCTCCCGGGATCTTGGGCACGCACGCACACGCGCCCGGCGTGAGTTTTAAGCCACCGGGTCCGGGACACGAACCGCGGTCGACTACGTGGGAGTCCAGCGACATAGCCATTACGCTAACTGCTGGTTCCCAGCAGTAACTGCTTTCTAAGTACATGTTGAAAACGAGGTTGTGTGTGTCCTCTTCCGCTGCTCACTGCTACTCAGCACGTTCCAAGGTGTTTTTCACAGACAGCTTACCCCCTTCACGGCCTATCACAGGATACCCGTGGCCCTGACTACGGCACGTTTCACATAAGCCTCCGGGCAGGGCACTTCTTCAGAGAAGCAGGCTCCGACTGTCCCTACGACTTCGCTGTTGTGACAGCGCTGCCCGACGCCTTCTCCCTGAGTCTCACCATCACGCCTGGCACACTAAGATAAGTTCATGCACGCCATCGCCCTGTCCTTTAGGACCATGCTGCGTCACTCAGGTCGTCTAGAAACACCCGCAGCGTGACTGACCACAGGGACTCGGCCTTCTGGTGTCCTGCAGGAGTGGGAAGTCCCGAGCGCTCAGAGGTGGCGTGAGCTAGGAGGAAGAAAAGGAGCGACAGTCCCTTCCCTCTTGTGTTTCAGTTCACTTTCTGTCCAGCGGCGGACAGCAACACCTGCCTCCTCTACCTCAGAGAACTGGTAAAATACAACTATAAACCTGAACATACCCTGAAAAGGCGAAATCGCCATGCATAAGAGGGACCATTGTCTAGAAAGAAAAAGCCGAGTAAAAACCACAAATACACCTGGAACCAAAAAGCTATATACCATTTTCCCCCTAAGGTTTTGCCGTAGGGTGCGTGCGCTGGCCAGAGACAGTAAGAGGGAAAGTGAGAAATCATCCCCCAGGGAGGACGGCCACACCACAACCCCTTCTCTCTACTCCCCTCCTGAGACTCTGGGCACGCCTGCACACATGCCCAGTGTGATTTTCAAGCCTCCAGATCCAGGACTCGAACCACGGTCAGCCATGTGGGAGTCCAATGCTTTAACCACTATACAGCATGCTGGCCCTGACATAGATACTTTTAAAGACTGATTAATTTTATTTATTATTATTTTTTAAAACTTTGCTACAGGGCATGTGTGTTCACAAGAGAGGGAGACAGAAAGCAAACTGCCGGGTCTGGGACCCGAACTGCAGTCAGCCATGTGGGAGTCCAGCCCCCCTCAACCATCACACCTCCTGCCGGCGCCCTCACTTGGGTTTTTTTAAGCTATCTCAAAGTTCACGAACTGAACATTAACTTTTGATTTTTCTATACATCTGTTCCTTTCCCTCCCACTAGTTCCTGCCCTCTCAATAAATGTCAGCCTTTCAGTGCTCAAACTATACGTGTATGTATAAATGTAAATGTATGTTTTAAAATTTTGTACCTCAAAAGAAAAAAGTGACACATCTACATATAATCGTGATTCCTCTCTGCCCCCTATTTTGTCAGTTCAGCAAGCCCTGATAACCCTGTGGGAACTCCAACCTGCCCACAGCTCTTCACACCACTCTCCTGCTCAAGTGCTGACCACAGCCACTGCTGACCACGGCCACCACTGACCACGGCCACCGCTCACGTGAGTGGGACCACCCTGGGCCAGCGGTGGTGGCGCAGCAGCAGCGCCCCGAAAGGCCGGATGCCATAGGGAAACGGGGTTCAGCTCCTTCATAAGCAGAACAGGGCAGGAGAAACATGAAGGGAAGGTCAGGGATGAGAGGGAGGAGGGAGGGTTCCTGACAGAACGTCACATAGCAGGGCAGCGAGGGCCTGGCATGCTGAGCTGCTTGTCAGGGTTCCCTGAAAAGCTGGGGCAGGACATGAAACAGGACAGGGAGACAGGGCCTAAATACAAAAAGGCCGTACATAATGCTTAAGAGCTCAGAGTCTACCCAAGAGTCCGTGGAGAGCCATAGCATAGTTCTGCTCAGAGCAAAAGAATGACTCAAATCCCAGAACAGCTTTCTGACAACGTACAGGAACGGGGAAGGCTTACATTCCCGAAATCTCTAAATCAAAACAAATCAACGTAAAACACACAGCATCAAAAATAAACGACCACCTGTCTGAACGGTTTCTGTTAGTCTACCAGAATAATAATTTCTGCATACTATCTACATAAAACCTGTCATCTTTCAGCTTAATCATGTAAATAAGAGGTAACTGTATGTTTTAATGTTTGATTGGCTACTAAACATACCTGGGTAGTAAACCTTTTTCCCGTCAGTCTTGTATACAACCATCGTGATAAATTCTCGGTTATTTGCAAAATCATCCTAAAATCACAAAGAATCCAACGTGGTTAGCAAAATGGGCTCAGAGTGCTCTTCACTAATTTTTTTTTTTTTAAGAATAACTTAATTTTAAGAGCATTTCTTTTAGCTATTCGGTGCTGTAAAAAGCACTGCTTTTCTGAATTAAACTGTCATTCCGGCGGATGGCTACTGTATGAGGTAACATATTAAAAAGATTCTGAGGCTTTGGGATTACGGTTAGCCTCCATAGGATCAAGACCAGCGAGTGACTCCGTATTCCCAACCCGCCCTTTACCAAATTTCAGTATTAATATTCTTACGGTTTCCTAAGCTATGTGTAACCAACCCCAAAACTCTCACCAAAAAGCATCTCCCTCACAATTTTCTACAGAGATGACTTTTAAACAAGATTTTAAGTGATGATTACGTATTTCTTTAGAGGAAAATCTTTTATCTGAGAAGACACTGTTTTCAGGGAACCTCTGTAAATGGACAGGCTGGTGGTCGGATCACGCATCTCATTCAAAACGTGTTCAAAATGGCCTGACTCCACCGAGACGCGTGGGCCGGGCAGCCCGGGGGCGGGAGCAGTACCTTGTCTGTGATGTGCCTGCTGAGCAGGACCCACACGGCCGCGCCGCCCTGCGGGCACTGCACCTCCAGTCTGTACTGCGGGTTGTTGGCCAGGCTGTAGGCGTCCTTCACTGGGCCTTGCTTGGCGTCCCAGGTGCTGAAAGACAGCGCCAAGAGGGGGGGCTGCACTTCTCACAGAGCTAAAACAGAACACGATTTCTAAAAGTGCGGTGTTTCAAATACGATCAAACTATCACGATTTCTGGTTTTGTTTTCCTGTTTAAAATGTTTTTGGCATAACCCAGAAGTGCGGAGGGGAGCTACGATAGAGAGAGAGCTGTCCGTGGGCATGACAGAGAGAACGGCTGTGTCCCTGTTAGCCATTACCAGGAGGTGGGACCACGGCTCGCCCGGACACGTGCGCTACCTGTGAATACACGTGGACTCTTTAAAGAGACCTGGATTCCAACTCAGGTAAATCACATCGTAGTACTGGCAGAGGTCATCCCAGGAAATCCAAAATATTCCTGAAAGTTAATGTCTTTGATCAAAACAAACTTAATGATAAATAACTCAGATCAGTTAACTTATTTCACCTTGTTAAAAGATGTTATTTACTTAAAAAACAAATGGTAAGAAAATGTAAATACATATTCACCGTTGTCTATCTTCTGTGCTGTTCGGGGGTCAAAGTTTAAATACTTCTGCAATTCTGGGGTCCAGTTTTTTACGTCGTTTTCACTGTATCTTCCTTTCCAACGTAAATGACTCCAAGGATTTTTCAACTGGATAAATCGCAGACCCTATGTGAAAAAAGCAGCGCATGACATGTGGTTGCAAACCCTGGACAGATGACTGGTTCTGTCATTCCTTCAGAGAGAGTGTTCGGAGTGCTAGCAACGCTTTCCCCTTCAAATCACCTTGAAATCAATACTGTTTAATTAGAACTCTGACCTGCGCCACTACTGCGGCTGGCCACCCCTGCCTCGGGCTGTGCAGACCCCTACGGCGCTCGCCGGCACGGGGGGCCCTTTGGATTTAGACAGTGGAAAGACCAGCTCCTCAGTCACCGAGAGTTCCACA